ACTAGGCTGTTGAGTATGGTAAGGGGAGGGTATTAGAAGGGTTCTTCCTAAAATCCACAATCATCTCCACAGTTTTAAGTGTATTCAGTTCCAAGTTGTTATGACCGCACAACAATACCAGTTGTTGAACCTCCCGTCTATATGCTGACTCATTTCCATTTCGAATTACCAACGTTAAGATGTGTGGGTTCAACTCCCAAAATTCCCTAGCCAGCATGTTGGCTGGGGAATTCTGGAAATTGAAGTCCACACATCTTAAAGTTGTCAAGGTTGAAAAACACTGGTCTATGTCATCTTTTTCCAGCTGCCTTGAAGGCATTAAAAAAAAAAAAAAGGCAGGAAAGGATTTTCTTTGTATTTTTATCAGGGGTGGGGCAGGGCATCATTTGTCCAGTTCTATTCTGTGTACCAGGAATCTGTTAAAAATGACAAGTCATCCCAGCAACAAAAACGTTCTGAGGAATCCACACAATTGCCCTTCGTGTTTTTCTTTTAGTGGATTTACATATCTAGCCATGCTCTTTCCCCAGGATCACTTAACCTGCAACAGTTTTCAAAACATTCAGATGGATTTCCTAATATGATGACCCTGTTGATGTTGTTGATCTGGGCCTCACTTCTTTCTGTGCAACTGTTAAGTGAGCCATAGAGGTTTCAAATCTTTTGTATACTTCCTGCTAGGAATGTGTCTTTTAGAGTAGCTGTCCCATTTTCTTACTTCTCTGCTGCTTTTGTGAAGGTTTAGCTCTAAAAAATGGTTTAAAAAGTTGTTAAATGCTGCTGGAATTCAAGCTAGCGTTCTGACATGATCTGAATCTTCTGGCGTGGAATGTAGTTAGCCACAGACTTTTGCAGATTGCGCTCACAATTCTGACTCAGCACACTAAGAAATCCGTGGAATTTTGAGATTCTGAGGGCAGTATATGCCCTGGGTTCCTCTCCCTTCTTGTGCTAGCATATCTGATCAAGCTACGACATGGGTTTTAATTTGAAATAGATGAGGAATCCAATCATGTTAAATTCAAATATAGACTGACCTGATCTGTGCTTCCCAGACTAAGGTACAGCTTGGAAATCTTGCAGTTCTGTCAGTTCTGATTGGCCTGACATTTCTAGGCTTAAAATGTATCAAAATGCATTTAGAAATGGGTGAAAATACACTTGACATATATTTACACATTTAAATATAAATTTTCACACAAATTAAAAAGATAGGTAGTTTAATGCAGAAAGAGGGTAGAAGGAATGATTATGCACATTTGTGAAACTGTGTTTCCTAAATATACCAATTCACCAATTTCTAGGGTGAATTATAATTCCCTATGGAAGTATGCAAAAAAAGAGCACAATATTAAAATTGTGATACAAATTGGATATAATTATTCAAACCATATAAAGCTTGTTCTAGCAGATACATAGGACCAGATCACTGGTGCTATCTGCATTATATTGTTATCAAATTAATTTACTAAAAACATATTCATACTCACTTAGCATTAACTGGATTAGGTTAAATAGTATTTTTAAAACAAATTATTTTCATTCAAAAGCAAGAGTAAGCAATATTTATTTATTTAAAATAAAGATATAATTTCAAAAGATATAATATCGATAAGTAGACAAAGAGAATTACTGAGGTTATACAATTAGTGCTCAGCATAAGATTAATAAAGATTGCCCATATCAGACAAAGTACATTGAGTTATTTTTATGATATGAAAAAGAATATAAATCTTCAAGCTTAGTGCCACAGTCTCCACTATACTGTTATTTGCAAATGTTAAAAAAAGAAAAAAAAATAAGTAGGGGAAAAATAGTATATGTAAGTATTTGGTGTCTGTCTTCTCCCTTTTTTCTACTCCAACTGATTTACAGTATTTATAAACTTTAGAAACCATAATCTATATTTGTATATATTATATAGTATAAGGAAGCTATCCTTGCTGAAATGTAGCTAAACTTCTGTTATCTATATTTACTGTTAATTTTGCCATTGCTGCATATTCTCCAAGTTTAAGTTCCCAAGGCAATGTTTGTTTTTCAGTCAGTGGGCACATTGCCAATTTTGAGGAGAGCCAGTGTGGTGCAATAGTTATGGTCTTGGACCAGGAGTGGGGAAACCCAAATTCTAGTCTAACTTTGGGCCAGGCATTTTCTGTTAGTCCAGCCTAACAAGGTAGTGGTTGCGGGGGAGGGAGTGAGAGGAAGGAGTGCGATGCACCCTGCTTTGGCCAGAGTATAAGGCAGGAAATAAACCTATTTTAGGAGTCTCACAAAATGGCTGCCATGGGAATGGATGGGCCTATTCATGAATGGCTCCCTAGTTTGTGTAGATAGTCAGAACATCAGTTTACTAAAGGACAAACTACTGAGGATTCTAAATACCACTGCATCTTAAATTTATCTTTTTATCTCAACGGGAGGACACATATTCAGATCAAGCATTAGGCTGCAGCCACTCACCTTTTTTGTTTTCTAGGATACTTACATGATCTGTGTCAGGCCCAGAGGTATTCTTGGAAATAAAGATGATGCTAAAAAACCAATGCATTGTGTGTGACATGCCAATTTCCCATTTAATTTATTTTAATTAAAAGAATTTTTTAAAAAGGCAGAGGGAGCAGGGAGCCTAGCAGGAGCAGATTGCCAGCTTGTCACATTATTTATTTATGGCAAAAATGTGCTATCCTGCTGACTAGTACAAATAATTTTCATGCAAGTTTCAGCAAATTAATAGAAAAATTATAATCAACAAATGTAAACAATGAATACTTTATGAAACCATTAAAGGAGCTAATTTAAAAAATCAGATTGCCAGATATAATATACAGTTGATTATGAAAGACAACTTGGGTTATTTAAACCACTAACATAATTTTACTAAAGGAAAAACTGTATGAAGTTAGTTACATATCTTAACTTGTAGTTTTTTTGTAGCTTGTTCTTCTGTTGTATGGCTTCTTCTCTAAGGCGACAAGAACTTTTGACATACACCCTTCTGTAGGACACTCATTGTCCCCTACATTCCCCTACCTAAATTTATTTAGTCTGAAGATTTATCACTCCACATTTTAATTAT